GTTTAAAATGCGTGAAATATTACATCATATGGACTGTTCATTCACTTCAGTCAGAGATAGACTATGACACAGTTGTTTTAGGTGACGCTTACACTGTCACTAAAACCTGAATAATCACAGAAATGGGAAGTAATGCACTAAGAGGAGATATGAACGTGAATGTGACTGAGTTTTTGCTGAGCGTTACAGTGAACAAAGAAGTCTCTGCTTCCTCTGTCTGTCTGGTTTGATGAGCATTCTCATTACAGCAAATACACAAGTGAGATTTCTTTGCTGAAATATTCTCTTTTGACTCGTCCTCTTCACAGCTTGTGAGAGCTCAGTTCAGCTGAAGAGCAGTTCGGATTTCTGCAACTTGCCTCAAAAACACTGAAGCTTGCAAATGCTGAAGTTTCAATGTGTCCTTAGTGCTGTGCTCAAATTAGGTTGGGGGGGGGGCATGGAGAGAAATTAGTACAAATGTGTAAGTGAATACATTTTCATATCATACTCAACCAAATATCAAATATTTCATGTACACTGTATGTCCAGCCTGAAGCAAGAATATCAGATAACATTTTCCAGTTCTTCTTGTGCATGTAAATGTCTGAAAAGCTTCTAAAGATTTATCAGCAATTAATTATAGAAATGCATATTCATCTTCCTTAAAAATGTATTCCTTAGTGCACCACGCTGCTCTGCCATTTGTCTCTGATTTAAGAAACTTGATTTGTCTTCTTAATACAACCGTAGAATGGAACATTGGTACATTTTTGTTTATAAGGCAATGTCTCCTTATTGTTCTTTACTGACTCAGTAGATGCAACCTTCGGTCACACAGACAACTTTTTTACATCGTTCCTCAAACCCGCACTATCTTTGGTGAAAGTGCTTTTAAAGTTTTTGCTCTGTCATCTTGGTGTCAGCTACAGACTCACCTTAAAATACCACAAAGCTTCAATTAAAAGCCCAGTCCCAATTAAACACCCAGTCCCTTTTACTAGCCTGATGAAGCTACACATTTTGACAAATAAAGGCCTGTCTCAATTAGAGGCTTGGTCTGGTTGTCAAGCAATTCATTTTTATAAAAGTTCTTTGGATGTATAAAACCAGATTGTTGACTACCCCCTTGAGCTAGTTGTTTAGATCGCACATTCAGATAGAAATGTTTGAACTTTTGTCAACGTGGAGATGCTACACATCGTTAACAGGCAAACATGGTGGCAAAAGTGTAATTTTTACATTTCTTTTTAATGCACTGTTACTATTGTGAATCTGAGATCTTATTAGCAACAGTGCATCAAAACGATCATGGGAGCAAAGAGCAGTGTGCAGATTCTACTTATGCACAAGACGCATTATAAAAAGGAAATGCTGTCAGATTAATGAACTTCACATTGCAAACAGAATCCACACAGAGTACTTGACATTTATTCATGTATTTATTCATGACTCATCTGTCATTATTGAAACTAATTTCACTCCGTGGAGAGGCAGATGGGATAAACAAACGAGTGAAGACTGCAGAGTGCACAGACAGTCAGTGAGGGAGGATGAGATTTAACTTGAACTCCATCTGCACCACCCACCGTCTATAAAGAGCTTTGACTCTTTGCAGCACCTCCAGCCTCCAGCTCACCCCTGCTTTAGATGCTCTTTTGTGCTGACAGCACATCAAAACGTCCCCAAACACACACCTGTGCCTACTTTTCTCATGTTTGGATTTATCTGAAGTATATTTTTGCACTATTTGTGATCTGTTCTAATCTGCATGGTCTTTTTATTTAAGCAGCATATACCCTCTGTCCTTCCATGTTTTATTATTATGCTAATATTAATGAGAGCAGGAAAAAATGCAAATGTGCCTTGTCACTTTCTGTTCTGTACATACGATTTACATCTGCAATTTGAATACATTTGATTTAGATGAGTAATACTGCACACCTACGCGTTCCCCCCAAATTCATGCATATTTTTGTACATCCAGTTTACTTCATTTCATTTATTAGATAGCTTATTTTTGATGTTTTATTTCCATATTTCCTTTTCATGCTGATGTGTTGCTATTTTTCCTTCCTTGTATCCTCATACTATTAATCATTGTTGTACCATTCCTGTTCATATTCATCGCTGTAATGGTCATACCTCATTCAGAGGGATCATCAAAGTTTTATCTTTTAGATTAATTGAGCGTGAGTCTGTATTTCATCTTGTGTTGCTGCACCTGTGAGAACACAAAGACCTCCAGTTTTGCTGCAGATGAGTCAGTCAGAAAGGATGCAAAAAAGTGATTCATGCCTAAAGCTTTTCCTCATTCATCCTGGATCACGACCTCCACAGACAGACTTCCTCATCCTCCTCCTGACTGGATAAACGCATATTTTTCCTCTTCCCTGTAGTGCTATTTATCAGTCTAGATTGTTTTGGTGTGAGTTGTTGAGTGTTGGAGATATCAGCCATAGAGATGTCTGCCTGCTTTTGAATATAATGGAACTAGATGGCACTCGGCTTGTGGTGCTCAAAGCACCAAAAAAATACATTTTAAAACTCAACAGCAATGTTTCTTTCCAGAAATCATGACCTGAGGCCTGTACTACAAAGCAGGAACTGGAGTTAGAGGGAACTTCAGGGTTAACTTTGGGTTTTCAGTATTACAAAGCTGGTTTTCTTTTTACCGGGATAAATCACTGTGGTAACTTATGCCGATGAACTGGTTGACTAGCATTGGATCACACCCTGACGTCTAACCAATGAGATCACCGAAGAAAGAAGTATCCATAGACAAAAGTCCAGAGTCTCAGGTAAAAAAAGAGGAGCCTATATATTGTTATAGGTCAGTAGAATCATTTCATTGTCCATCCACCCTTAGGAACAGCTTATTCCTCTTGAGGGTCGCAGGATAGTGCACAGCTGACACTGGGTGAGAGGCAGGGAACACCCTGGACTATTGCCAGACTATCACAGGGCTACCAGCAATTTAGAGTCACCAATTAACCTATCCCCAACCTGCATGTCTTTGGACTGTGGGAGGAAGCCGGAGTATCCATAGAAAACCCACACATGCAAACTCCGTAAGGGCTCCCTCCTGGGATTGAACCAGAAACCCTCTTGCTGTGAGGCCACAGTGCTAACCACTATACCATAAAGCCCCCATTTCATTGGCCCAGGGCTCTATTTCCACAGATCTGAAACAGAGCAAACAAACGGAGAGATTGTTTACAACACTAAACACGATTTTAGTACTGTTTAAACTTTAGTCAGCAGTGATCGCTGACATTGCTGCTACTTTTACACTGATCCATCACTGCAACTCAAAATAAAATGAGACACCTGTGTGATAAGAACTAGGAAATAAATATTTCATTAGAAAAATAATCCACACACTGTTAATTGGCTGCTGTTATTATAAATGCCACATTTCCGTCGGATAGACCTCATCAGTCATTAACTAGGCTACTTTTCTACCCTTTACTTGAGCAGCAGAAACAGTCTGGTGTTACTTTTAATGTGTTTCATGTGACTATTCATCATCATCATAGCTCAGTGATACCTTCACGTAATTTAAGTCACAGCCGATGGTAACTGTTTGGATAGTATTTTCAAGGTTTCTACATTTTCCCTTCTAAGATTACAGAGTATCGTTTACATCCCACTCCACTGACAGTACTGTCTCACAGACTAAGACACTTTTGGTACAGTTTCATCTCATAAGAAGCAGCCAACTTCATTCATGGTTCTGATGATGTCGCTCGTACTAAACACCCCCGCCTCTTTCACATGAATGCGCTCGCGGCTGGATAGGAAAACCCAGAGCTGACTGAACTAACCGATAACCAGCATTGTAGTACCGGTCATCCAGACGGCCAATGTTAGGGTTAGTCAAACGAGATAATGAAAAGACATCCTGGGTAAGTTGAACTGGCTTCGTAGTACAGGCCTCTGATCCCTCAAGATAATCTACAGACCTTGTTGTGAGCAGTTTCATGTAGGAACTATTTTCAGTCTACCAAACTACACAGAAGGAAGCGTGCATCTACTCATGGACGAGAGGCTTGTGCTCAGGACAGTGCGAGATGTAAACATTGATGGCATCCTCCTCTGCTGAGCTATAAGGTTAGCTAGCTTAATAGTGCTAGGTGAGCTAGCAGTAGATGCATGCTTCCTTCTGCATGGTGATACAGTTGTCAGGTGTAGTTTGGTAGAAAGAAAATAGTTCCTATATGAAACTGCTCACCAAAAGGTCTGTGGATCTTGAATACAGGGTCGTGATTTCTGAAAAGATACATTGCTGTTGAGCTTTGAGCACCACAAGACGAGTGCCAACTTGTTCCATTATATTCAAGAAACAGGAGACATCTCTACAGCCGATATCTCCAACACTCTGCGACTCATACCAAAAAAATACAGACTGATAAAGAGCGCTACAGCTAAGAGGAATAATGTGTACTTCTGATTACGGGGTGTACCGTCCCTTTAATGCTTGTTTTGTCCAACCTACAGTCCAAAACCCAAAGGTTTTTTATTTAATATTACACAAGAGAAAGAAAAGCAGCAAACACACTCATTTGAGAGTCTGTAACCAGGTAATGTTTTGCATTTTTGCTTTTAATCAACGATCAAAAAAGCTGATTAATAGTAGTTAATCGTCTAAATGTTTCAGTTCTACTTGTGTATATGATTTATGTAAAACAACTCAGGAGAAAATGTGACACCTACTGTTACAAATTAATCAATGGTATAAAATAAAAACAAGTTAAGGAGAAAGTTGTGGTAATTTCTGGCAGCAAAGCAATTTAATATTTAACTAAATGGAATCCTCTTCAACTTGTATGGGGAAATAACTCCCCTGAACTCTATGTAAACTATGTAATTTATCTCTATAGTTTGAATCCTTAAAATAATTCTGATTTAATAGCCAAGAAATGTGACCCACTGCTGAACCTGCCCTTTGTTTCTTTCAGTCAGAGAGTACAGTATGTATAAAACATAAAACATGTAATTAAAACACGAATACCAAGACATAAAAGGCAAAAATTTATTCAGTCTTTTAACAGCGATAGACAGCTCAGTTATTTCTAAAATCAATTTGTGAAACAAACATCTCTTTATGTGAACACATTGCATTTATTCAGTAGGAGGGGGATTTGAAGTCGAACGAGTCGAACTCGGATCAAAGTGGAACAGGAGATCAATAAAACATCTGTAATGACAGAGCTGTGTTGATTACTATTCAGAAATTCACATTAAAAACGAGACACATTTTCCCTTTTTAAAATTGGCAGTCTTAGAAAAGACACGGACCACAAACGGCCTGCAGATACACATGCAGTGGTGAACAGCCCCGAGTCGAACCCCAGACTCACAGGCTGTGAGAGACTAGCAGATCGATAAGAAAGGAGGGACAGATCGGTAGAGTCGTTTAAAAGTTAGCACACCAAAGGACAAAGACCCACTGAAACACCCAAAGGACAGTCTCTCTCCTAAGACCCCCTGCCAACTTCAAGTATTCCCTCCAGCGCTTGCATCACTTCAAGTATTCCCGCCGTGAACTCCAAACCTTCAAAATCATCACCACTTCTTAGGTTTACAACATAAGCTATGATATAAGTGCACTCAAAAGTCATCTATACATAGAAAAATAATAACAATACGTAGCAGTAATAGTTATAACAATCACTTTCATTTTATACACAACTGTGACGTTAAATCACTTTATACCGTGGCATCACATTCCCCACCCCCTGAGTGTAATGTTCAAGTTTAACCTTCTGTAGCTACGGAAACGCAAAAGGACCAGCAACCTCGGTTTGGTTATTTAAATAACATTAGCGATCATTGACGACGGCGATAATTAGAATCCGAGTAATTATGCCTTTCCACAGACCGTTGTGCTTGTGTGTGACGGATGCGTTATATACAAGCTGCTGATCGATCATGTGCCTCTGGCTTCAGTCTGTTCGCTGGTGTCAGACACTGACAGCCTTCATCCTGCAAAATAAACACCAGTGTTAAGAAACAGACATGGTAAAAAAAACAAAACAGTGCAGTGTGATGTATTGACAGCTCTGTCTGCGACAAGTTTGAGGAGTGACAACAGAACACACGCTCAACAATTAAAACTTCACTTGTAGACAGCATCACAAAAAAAAATGGATGAGCAAGCCAAGCATTAAGCACATTAGCGATTCAGTTAAGTGTAGCTCAGCTCTGAAAAGGTGTCACTTTCACCCACCTCAGTATCGCTCCCTGGGCAGACCCTCTAGCTGCCTCAGGAACCGGCAGCGATGCAGCTCCGGCATTTGTACAACTTGGGGTCATGGGTGCGGATGTGGCTCCGTACATTCCTCAGTCGAAAGAACGTCTTACTGCAGAGCTACACGGCGGAGAGAGGGAAGGACAAAGGGAGGCAACAGAGAAACTTTGTCTTAAACTGGCAATACAAACGTGGCACAAATGTGACACAATTGTGGTTTGACATTCTAAGAAATCTGCTTTTGTGGCGAGGGTTAGATGAGAAGACTGATAAAGCTCTCAGGTCTGTGGTATGACGCTACTGGCAGATGTACAATACAGTTTATTGCATCGATTTCAAGACTTTGCTTCTCACCTTTAAAGCCCTTCATAATCAAGCCCCTTCCTACCTGTCTAAGCTCCTATCTACACACCCTCCTGTACTCATAGATCATCTTCTGAAGTCCAACTCACATCACCATCTGCCCCTTTGGCTACCATGGGTTTCAGAGCCTTCAGCCGTTCTGGAACTGTCTCTCCCATGACATTCGCAGTATTGACTCCCTTTCCACTTTCAAATCCCGTCTGAAAACACACCTTTTCAAGCTGGCATATTCGGTCTGATTTAATGGCAACACACATTTTGAGACTCACACTGATGATGATTTTATACCTACTATTTATAATTACGATTTCTGTCAAGTCATTTAAATAAGTTTTATTGTATATTGCAGAATTGTTTGATTTTATGATCTATGGATATGCTGCTGCTTCTTTTTTTTTTAATGTCTTGTAAGGTGTCTTTGAGTGCTTTGAAAGGTGCCTATAAATAAAATGCATTATTATTATTATTATTATTATTATCATCATTATTATTATTATTATACCTCTGGCACTGTGACCCTGGAGTAAGTATAAAGTGGAATAAAAAAAGAAATACTAAACTCAAATACAAGTACTTCATAAATGATCGACCCTAACTTCCTCCACCCCTTAGCTACTGTTGCTAGCTTGGAAAAGCTTCACAAAAACGAAACACAACGATGCCAGTTCCAGTTAGCTGGGCGCCGCTTCAAGAAGCCAACAGCAAGGACTACAGTATGAGCTGCAAGGATATACTCATGTGGTTGACTTTTATGAGCAAGTCAAAACAACACAAACTGAAGCAGTCATTCCGATCTCAACGAGAAATGAGAAAGGAGAAGCCACATGCTCTTCGTGTAACATTAGAGACTGAGGATAAGACTATCAGGCAACATCTCTCCTGCAATGCGTGACATGTGTCTCCTGACTGAGGCCATGGTGCTGACCTAAGCTCCATTCACACGGGACTAATATTACAAGGGGATGTCATGTGATTTAGAAATTACCTCCCCATGATTGTGTTTCATGTGTCGTATTTGCACAGGATAAGTGATGCATGTGTTTTACTCGAATTTACTGACATTATCTTCGGTGCACAGTCATTTGTAACTCCACTTTACACAATACAGAAACACTACACAGCACCACAAGCAGTGATGTACAGTATTAACTTCCATAAAATCAAAAAAAGTGGGGTGAAACAAAACCAAATATGCCACACATTATCATCAACCTCATCAGCTTTCAAGATTTTGCTATTCTGATAGATTTGAGCTTGTTTTTTCTCTGAATGGGTCTCCGTGCTAATTGCCAGCGCAGCCTGCATAATTTGTGACTGGAAAAGAAAACAAAAAAAAACACAAAACAAATACGACCTGAGATCACCGAGATGCCGATTAGCATGGGATTAATATTATCACGACCTTTGTGCTTGGCAAATGCAGTGGGATTTTGCAGTGAATTTTACCTTGAAATTAAGGACATGGCAGACTCTCACAGGATTACGATCACAGACGACCTCCGTCATTATTACAAATCACTAGGGGTCCCCAAGTAACTGTCGAACATTATATTACTTCAGGGCGGCATAAAGCCTTACAGAAATAAAAGAAACAAAAGGATGTAATCCAGAAGGCCAACGATAAATCATGTCATCTGTCCTTTTTTTAAATCCCTTTAATGTTACCACAGATATAAGAAGGAAGCAAACCTGTCTGACACTGGTGATCTGACATTAGACCAACATTAACCCCTCTTCGCTAGCTAGTAAGCTAGCATTTTGCTAACATTAGCTAACATAAGGTGTCACTATATACAATGTAATGTTTCCATGAAGACTGAGGCACATCTTTTAACCAATCTTCAAAATTTGTTATTTGTTTTTTAACTCAGACAAACCTAGCACATAGTAAATCTAAGTATAATGGTAAAGGCGAAAGTTGACCGAGGTTCTGCAGAAGCTTGCTCAACTCTTGTTGAAGCACAGAGTAAAAAGAGGACGGACTTAGGAAGAGCTAATTGTGCTCAGACTCATCACTTAAGTAAATTTACTCCAAGTGTCAAAAGTCTGCTCTTCTGAGGACCAAGTTTACTCAGAAGAGACATATTAACGGTCTTGAATCTCACGACACGATTATATTTCACTCTAAATCACGTTAGATTGCTTAACCGGAATAAAATCTGCAGATTACTGGTGCTCCAGGTCATGATTTTCTATCCTCCAAATAGTGTGGATGCAGGTTGTTAAGGTTCAAAAAAGCCAGTGCTTACCGGACATGGCCAGTGCTTGCCCTCGATGTGCCTGAGGCGATGCATGATTAGAGCGTCGCAGTCCTTGTAGGAGGCTGAGCACTGCACACAGGCATGGGGGGCTTTTGGGGCATTGGGGACTTGACTACGAGGTCCTCGGAGCTGCTTTAGCCTTGCCCGACGTACGGCGTCCATCATGACACAGCTCCTGCTGCTCAGAGGGAGTTTACCTTGCTGCAGGAGATGCAAAAAAAAAGATGGGGGACAGACAAATATGAAGGTTACACAAATTTTGCAGACACAAGATACATGATATACCTGCAAAATCAAATGATGGAAGTGAGCAATGACGAGCTAAGCAGTGATGAATAAATGACTCCAACTGTTTTTACAGACTTTCAATTATATTATAGCAACAGCTAGAAGGCAACATCAGTGATTTTCTACCCTAAATAAATCGTAGCCATCATCATAAATCACTACTCTCCCTTTCATCTACCTTTGGTATGGTCCGTTTGGCCTTTGACCCAGCAGATCTGGCCAGGTGAAGGGTGCCGTTTCGGGAGTTTGGCCTGGGTCTCTTAACCTTGCTTTGGCTCACGCTCCTCTCCTTCCTCTCCTTCTTCACCACAGGCAGGGTGGGTGGCCCTCTGGCTCTCAGTGCCCTGTGAGGGGAGTCCTCCGCTCCAAATTTCTCCCCAACTTGTGACACAGAACGAGTTAAGCATATATCAACGCTCTCCTCCTCTTTCTTCAGTCCCGCCATCGGCCCTCCTGCTGGTCGACAGAAGCTGAACAGAAAGCCTGAGTCCAGTAATTTGATGGGGGGCTTGCTCTGGCGCTTGCCCAGGTCTGGGGAGGGAGGATCAGAGAAATGTGCAACTGGCACGGGATCTGCTGGCTCCTCTTTGATGACTTTGTACAGGGGGTGGTTGTAGATGGACGGCGGAGGTGCGTGCTCTGCAAACTGGAGCCCACCAGGTTCATTAACCTTCACTCTGGGTCTAGTGTCCATGACCCCTACCTTCCTCCCCTCCTCTCTGGGCTTACACTTTGTCTTCTCCACCTCCCTCGTAGAGCCCTGCCTGAGCTTGGCCTTCGCCACTGGTCGGCTTTTGTTGTAGCGCAGTGTTTTTACAGTCTCTACGGTGACCTTATTTCTGGCCTGTGTCCTGTGCGGAGGTGGTGATTTGAGAGGTGTGTGACTGCAGCGATTGTTTGATGAAAGAGGGAAACCTGAGATAGAGTATTGACTTGGTTCTGACTTGATCCTGACTGTGTTTCTTACTAGAGTTTTGTTGGTGTTACGTCGCAAAGGCTGCTGGGCAGCAAGGTGAGCGCTGTCACCATTCCTCACTGACCGTCTAAGTTCCCTCCCCCCAAAGGAAGGCCTGGATGCAGGCTGGAACATGTCTGGTAACACGCCTTTACTCCGCATGCTCCTGTCACTTGGAGGAACAGGTCGCTGTACACTCTTTGGCCTCTTTGCTGTCATCTGCTCCGTGCTGACTGGGCCCACAGGCTTGCCCTTTACTGACTTGCTGAGGAGGTGACTGTTGACGGGGTTACAGAGGGGAAGTGCCAGTGTCACAGCCCCAAATGCTAGTCCTGGGGAGGTGGAGCGTGGTTTTCGGCGCTTTGTCAGTGAATAGTTGTTGGCCTTCAGCTTCCTCAGCCGTTTCTTTTGTCTCCAACCAATCAGATCCTCTGGTCTGGGGAGGAGGGCAGTCCTTTGTAATCCAAGAACATTCATCAGCTTGTACTTCTCCTGTGCTCTTGCATAATCCTGTTCATCCTCTCCAACCTCATCTACTTCCTGCTTTACCCTAGCAGGACTACACCCACCAATCTTTGTAACCCTTGATCTGGAGGTGCGGGAGAGCTGGGTGATAGGGTGAGGTTTTCTGTTTCGTCGAGGGCTCTCTGGCATGGGTAGCAATCTCTGAACCTTCTTGGCAGCCCCTGGAGTGGAGCGGAGAAGACGGGTGTTTGATGGTGATATACGCAAGTAGTTCTGTGATTGTGGGGTGCCCATGGCATCTCGAGGTGTGGAAGCTTTCTTAGAAGAGGGAGATTTAAAGTCCATGAGCTTCATCCTGTGCGATGGGCTCAGAGGGAGTCCATTATGGCCTTGGGATTTCGGTGTCCTGCGCAAATTGTGCCTTGGACTTCCCTGTACAGACTCATCAGATGCATCCAGCGTTAGGCTGAAACCGTCGTTCATACTGTCCTCTAATCCCAAACCTCTTTTCCTTTTGCCTTCCCTCTGTTGGTGGTGCCGCTCGTGACATGCTGAGGAAAAGCCCTTGCCAGGATGGAGCTGTTGTTCCTGCTCTTTAAGGAGAGCGGAGCAGGCTTCCACTGCAGGCCACATGCCCAGGTGGCGGGCCATGGCGATGACTTCAGGTAGGTCCTCTTGGCGGACGCACAGAGTGGAGGAGTAGGAGAAATCCAGCAGGGACAATAGGCTGTCCTCACTAAAACCTGAGAGGAAAGAAAAGGAACGTTAATTAGATATGCTGAACTCCAGTCAATCAGTGAGTGAGATGAAAGTGACTGTGTAAACAGAGGATCAGAGAGACAGCAGGCAGAGTGGGAGCAAAGTGTAAACACAATGGTGGAGACAATATAACAACTGCTTTAATCAGGGCCACTGCTACTCCTGTCTGACGACACACATCAAAGACATACGTTAATGAAAAGGGGGACTATAGCTGTGTCCCAATTCAGGATCTGGATCCTCCAACGCAGAATTTCTAGATTAAAAACGTCATACCAAACTAACAAGCCAGACCCGTTTCAAAGGCCTCCTTTTGTATCTACAGCTCTCAGTTTCCTACAAACAATTGTTTGAATGCTAATGATAGATGAACCTTGTCATCTCAAGTCATGAACTGTCACGTGACTGCATTTATGCAATGTCTTTGCATTCAGGTGGTAATCAGTCACTGATAAATGTATCACATGAGCTACTAGGTTGATTGGAAAGCCTCTAGATAACTCCTCTGTTTGTTCTGATATGGGCATGATAATCACAGGAAATTACAGAAGCAATCTTGACTACAATTAAATGTATCATTAACTAGAGCTGCAAAGATCAGTCAAGTACTGGATAAATCAATTTTCTGTCAATCAACAGAAAATTAATCAGCAACTATGTTAATGATCAGATAATTGACTCAATCAATTTTTGGCTGTTCAATACTATGTGTTCCCTTTTCATATAGACAGTAATCAACGCTTTATTGAACTGCCAGATTCTGCACGGGTTTTGGCGGGACGTTCAGGGCGACAGCGACGTTAACCCTTTGAGCTAATGTGTGCTAACTATGCTAACAACGGATCAGAAATGAATGATGACATTTTTTGCCAACACTAAATATCAAAGGCAACAGACTATAAGTTCTAAGCGGAGGGAGGAAGATAACATTATCTCGGAGCCTGACCAGGCAAAGCCTCTCACTCCGGGCAGCTGCCTCCGTCTAACTCAGACTCACTCTGGGTTCAGAGCCGCAGCTGCCTTTACCCCGAGCAGACATCTTCACCGGACAGCCAAGAGGACTTGACGTAGTGTGGTGTGATTTTCCCCAGCATGAGAGCAAGGAGCGCTGACTCTGCAGCTACTTCTAGGGACCTAAATATCCCCAGAAGTTCAGTGCACACTGACTGATAACCCTTCCTGCAAAGAAATGACCGCTCGATGTGAAGAATCTCAGTCGACTCAGGGGTCTCCGACTGATGATTCCAATCTTTGACTTTAAGGGTCGCCCTATATATATATCTGATTCAGACTGCTAGTGGGACAAAAATAAGCACATTGAATATGTCACATTGTCACTATTATAATGTGCAATTTTTATTTTTTCATGACATTTTGCAGAGAAATTGATGATAAAATATTCTGGAGATGAATTAATAACAATTTAGTATTGTGAGGCACTTCGATTAACAATTTTCCTGGTGACAAGCTGGCAAATATTGACTTAGAAGTTAAAGAGGAACAGTTTAATGACCAATACATCATTTTTGGGGCATTTAAGGACATGGTTCAGACTGAGTCAGGTCTTAACATCCAGATTCAGACCCAACACTAAGACACCGCTCAAGCAGCGATGTATTCTATATCAGTTTGGCCTGTAATCTTACCAGTGAGATCTATGTCTGCCTTCATGCTCGAGTCCATTTCTGTGAAGATTTCTTGGAAGTGATCGCTGACGGCTGCCAGGACAGCTCTGTGGGCCGAGTACGATCGCCCGTTCGTCCGCAGTGTAATGTCACAAAAGAGCCCTGCCTCACGCTGACTCCTCAGCTTGCTCAGCATGTCAGCGCTGTGTGACACTATCGTCTTTGTGACACATCCTCTGCCACCCAGCTCCTGAGAGGCACACGACGGCAAGACAGAAGCAAACAGAGAGGCATCATTATAGGAATACAACGTGTGAGAAAGCACTTGCAGGAGACATCCAAGTGCGAGAGAAGGATTAAGTGAGAATGAGAGCGAGAAAGTGTGGATTAAAATGTGTGAGATACAGAAATATGAGACACTGATAAAAATGAAGAGAAGCTTCAAGTCTGATAGAAGCAAAAATTAAAACGACATCTAGACGGTATTGTATACCTCTGTTTTCTTGGTGCGCTGGCTTTGACACTCTGGACAGCTCAGGACAAAGTCTCTGATCTGGAAGTACATCCCTGTGAAGAAAATACAGACAATAATATTACTTGATCAGATGAAATGTCTATTGAGGGTAGAGAGATAATACAAGAGAAAGGGCTTTCATGTTTTGTTAAATCTTTTAAACGGATCCTCTAAATGTGTGCTTGATTTCTTCTTAGTGGAGAAAATACATTAGATCTTTAAGCTAAAAAGTTGTTCCGGGGGGGATTGGACTCTTGGTCAGTTTGATATTTGGTAAACCTTGCCTTCAGGAAGATATCAATTAAAAGGGATAGTTGGGACACCCCTAGTTTCGAGACACAGGCTGGAGTCCGACAGAGGCTATGTAATGTACTGCTGTGTATGGGGTTAGCAACAAAACATATTTTAGCCACCTGAAAAAAAAACAATATCAGTTTAAGTGTACGCTATATTGAGGGTATTTTCAGCGCTTTACCTTTCCATCAGAGAGCCGTTCCAACGGGGAAGCTGTTAACAGCTTCAGTTCCCCATCTATGCTCTCATTAAAGCCACCAGACTCCATAGAAAAAACAGGAATTATAGCTTGCTGAACATGGGAGCTACTGGTTTACCACTGCCACCAATTACTTAGTTTGTGTTATTGTGTAATTTTGGTGAACCCGAACTAAGGGAACTAACCAAGCCAAACACCGAAGTCACACAGTATCACACACACACACAAAAGTAATCAAGGCAGCAGTAGACCAGCAGAATCGCTGCTTTTCTCAGTAAAGTCTGGCTTTGAAGAGAGTGATATATAGCCTTCATTTTGTTGTTTTGTTAGATATCACTGACCACAAGGTAAAGTGAAAATATTCTTAATACAGTGCACACTTAAACTGTTTTTTATGACTTCTTTCAGGTGGCTATAACACATTTTTTTGCAGACCCCTCCACAGCAGTACATTGCTTAACTTCCTTCTCAGACTCCAGGTTGCCTCTCCAAAATGGGGGGCGTGCCGACTGACATCTACTCTAATAAATATCCTGTTTTTAGATAAGTACCACATACAACTACCCTTCAAAAAATCTGAACTATCCCTTTAAGGGGTATAGGGTTCAAGAAGTGTCAAAACATAAGGGAGGGTGTCAAAAACATCCAAGAAGATTAAAGCTTTGGGTAAAAGAGAAATGTGTGTGCGGTCTGTTGGGAAGGGGGAGCACCTGATACAAGAATCGTCCGTACCAGGAAGCAATTTCTTCAGCCTGGCCCTAAAATACTGGATCCTGTAAACCACTTTAAACTGAATAAGGCTTGATAATAATATTAATGGGTCAAACTCTAGCAACACTGGCTTTAGAGTCTGATGAAAGCCACAAGCTTGATTAGAAAAGTCTGGACCATAATTAACAGCTGTCAATCATGTGTAAGTTACTTGATCATTGATTGATTCAATCACCACTGTATAGCTGTTCCACTTCCTTACAATAAGACATGGATAGACTCAAGATAACCAGTAAGAAGTTGGTTTACAGAGTCGTGAGCCACATGCTGATCTGTGAAGTCACATGAAAGGCAGCCAGTGATGTTAATACCTTCCCACCAGTAGTTTTCAGCCACGCATTTGTAGGTCTCCTCCATGGAGAGGTGGCGCTGGCCAAGCCGCCGCCGGTGAAAGGTGGAGACGGCCTCATGCCTCCGGTCCTCATCCAACACCTCCCTGTAGTTGATGAAGCCCCTTTCCAGCTTCTTGCGGTACAGAAGCCCATCTATCATCTCAAAGTTGGGCGAACACCGTGCGGGAAGTCCACGCCCTTTTGAGTTCCCGGCTGGCTCCATCTCTCCAGCTATCTCTCTGTCTCCATCCGACCAGGGTTTGGACGGACAAAACGACTTTGTGTTCGTGTAATGAGAATTGGTGTGTGTGCAGTCGCTTGCCATTTTTAGACGCTTTTTTTATAGTCTGGTGTGAAACTTTGCCCAGGCTGAGAGGTGCAGCAGCCGCTTCCTCTCTGGAGCAATCAGTCCGGTGCTGTGTGCCAAACTTTACGCACCGACCTGAAACAAAGTCCACGTGGATACGGTGACAGCAGACAACAGACCCCCTAAAAGTCCCAACAAAACACTCTGACACCCTGCTAACAGTCTAACATATCCGATTTAACGGCTACAAATTAGCTTATTAGCTAAAAATGAACCGTTACGTCGCTCATAATGGTTTACAAAAGCTTGTTTATGTCTTTTATAGCTACAAAAGAAAGTCGCCAGCAGATGGGAGCCAGCAGCATTTCACAGGAGGGTCCTGCTTTGTAACCTAGCTGTCAGTGAGGGCATCACTTCTCAACGGGCAAACAGCTGTGGCTAACATCCCTGAAATATCAATACACTTCCACTTTCTGTTTGGGGGAGCATTTGGTCGTATCTCTGCACACGTTTGCGGTTTCTATCGCTACGCAACATCAACAGAAATGTTTCCCTGTCCATCCGAGTGCGGATACTAAATGCAGCCAGGAGAGTCTCGCGCCAACAACGCCGAGCCAAGTGATGTAAAGTCACCAGTTACACCGCGACCACGTAAACAGGCTTTCACCGCCAACCGCTCACCAGCAGCCCGTCTTCCATCTATTTCAGGCGTCGGGAGTGGCCTCCGGAGCTGGATGACGGCGGGCAGCCTCACCTCTGGCGTTAACTTGAGATTTCTTTTCGCCAACTCGAGTCGGAAGCAACATGATGACGCAGCTATCAGCGCAGCATCGCCACTTGAACGACCTAAAAGCGAGGTTGTCTCCGCGAGCTGCCAGAAATGTTGCAAATCACCACGAGGTCTTCTCAAAAGCGGCCCAACAAGGTCCGGTTACACACCCGACATAGTTCATACCGCTCTCGTTGCCTCAAAGCCAGTCCGGCGGCCGAATTATACAATTTTTTAAACTCGTAACCTTCTGTTTGTTGCTAATCAGCAGCCTAACCGAGCCAAGTGTTCCCCGCCTTCACACAAAGACCATTAGCAGAAGCTTTAAAGAACTTCTGCCAGACGGCCTGTGATTGGCTAAGCGAGCTGTCACTCAAGGTAGTTTTCGTCCCCTCGCAGCAAGGTAGGTTGTTAGCGCACGCTATACTAGTATTTGCTTCACTTGCTGCACAGTCAAGTTAAACATGATACAACCAGTGTATTTTACTGACTTCTGGCACACAGATACTATTAAATAAACGTTACCCAGTGTTTTATCTCATGAAAAATGACCTGACGTTATTTAATCAAACAAATACCATCAGTTGATTTCACATTTTAAAATGTTAGCCCTCACTATCATCTCAATGTCATATTGAAATACAGTATTAATTTTACAATCGCTTTGGCTCAATTTTCACAAAATAATTTACATTTAAATCATTTTTACATTCATTCAAAAAAGATTAATAGCTAATGCTGCTATCAAACATTAACTAATAGTCATCAAAACAAAGCAATGGCATTACCCACAATTATACAGATATGAATGAGGAAATCAAGTAATTTATGTTTGAAATTATTTACAGTAACAAGGACTTAATAAATCATTCATTTTATTAACCCTACTGCTTTGTATCATGTTATTTAATGTTATGTTCCTGGTCCAAAATGACTGCCCGATAATAGCTGGTTATAAATACATAGAAATACATATATTTTCACCTTTTTATTAGATCTTATATCACTTTCATCACTACGCCCATTTTCAAAACTCATACATGTTATTCCTGTGGTCTAAGACAGTGCAAAAATATTACTAACCACGCACAATTCTTCCCGAAATCCAAAATCTAGAGTGCTAAAACTCTAATTTGTGATGTCATGGAGTATCAAGTCTGGAGTCGCTCCATATAGATGACACTGTGAGCACCCAGGGGGATGTTCTGGGTACATGGATACATTTACTGATCATAACTAAGAAGTCGACAACAAGTTTGAACATTCTTTCCTGGTTCCTGCCTTTGAGAGGTATGTTCACAAGTATGGATTGAACGTTCCTAGGCCGTGTCCCCCTTTAAGTTCTTGTAAACATTACAAGTTCTGAACTATTTATGGCATGTAGTACATATCGACCTGAGTTCATACAACTTGTTTTTGAGTAATACAAAGCAAAACTTACTTTATGAATTCACTATAACAAAGCCTACTTTGTGTCAGAGTGTAACAAGGACATGTGTTTTTAAACTTTAATATTTTGAATAGTGGCACGAAATCTTTTGTCCCAGTCAAAACTGGTATGATATCTGGATTTCTCCACATCTGTTGTCTCTTGATCTGGATCATATTCTGCTGTCTTCAACTTCTCACACTTCCTCTTCCAATTAGTCTTCACTGTCAGCATCCTGGCCTCTCTCCTCCTCTCCACTGTCATGATCAAAGATATATTCAAAACCCTCACATTGTATGTGTGATCATTGTGCTGCCTGCCACAGAATCAATCATAAGCATGCTAGAGCTGCTACTAGAGAAAAGTTCTGCATACAGTGCTGTGATTGTTTGTGAGAATTGCCAACAGGTGTGGTTCCCGTAGGGGATGGATCATTCTGGGCAAATGTTCTCATGGGGGAAGGGGATGGCTCAACTCAGTTTGACACACTAACTGTAGTCAATTCATTTCTAATGACCTGCTATTTTTGATCAGGAACACCACAGGGGAACAAAAGTTAAATGTATTTTTTAGGTGTTCAGATGCCCCGTATGGACACAATCATGGAACCTTGTTACAGCTGGATTAAATGAACATTTCTTTCAGACAAACTTGTAAATTTGGTCCAATTTGATGTAAAAAAAACAACAGTTAATTGAATAGGCTGTGTACTTTTGTCAATACAGATGAAATCTACACTCTGCCTTTACATCACAGTAAATCCTACATTCATGCAAGATAAAATGTCTGTTCACTGCATCAGTTTGGTGTTTTTGTCCTGTATTGATCACCATTTTCTTTTTTTAATTTAAGACACCAAACCTTGCCTACACTGCAGTCACTTGTAGCTCATACATAATAATCTAAAATATAAAAGCTAAACCTATTCTGGGAGGCATACAACATTTAAACAATTCACATAATATATGCTACTGAATGGACATGCAGTATTTCCTTTTCTCATCTTCTTAAAAGTAAGAATTTAGCACACAAAAGCAGTGATACACTGAGAACAAGGCTGTCTTCTGTATTTTGGGGGGTGAATTTGGGAGTTTTATCAACTTCAGAGTGGTTTAAATTCTACAAAACAAATGTGCTTGGTAATAAACTCGACAATCCCTGTATTTTTTAAGACTCACTGTGTTTAAATTTGCTGTCTTTGGGACAATAAAGACAATCCGATTCCTTATTTCTCCACCAGTGTTTTAAAGCCAGTGTGGAGAACATTCAGACCAGGGGGGTCAAGCATACAGCCCTCAAGCCAGAACTGGCCTGCCAAAGGGTCAAATCCAGCCCACTAGATGACTTTGCACACATAATATTAATGCACCAGGGTGTCTACAAGTATCAGACAGTTAAATTTAATGCTTTTTAAGATCCTTTCAAGATACCTTTTAACCAAATTTAGGACAGATTTTTGGACAAATCATGTTTTAGTTTGCTTTGCAGGTAAGTATTTTGTATGTGGTATTGTGTAGAGGTAAGTGTTATATAGGAATATGATTATTAAAGTTAAGTCAATCTACATTTTGCCAACAGGTACGTGCAAGTATGAAATAAAATGACAGTATTGTAGTTTTTAAAGATTGCAACATTATAAATGTGGACTTTTTCATAGGCTTCACTCATTTTCACAAAAAGAAATTAAAAATGAACAAAATGACACCCAGCTGTGCTGCTGGAGGGAACGTGGGGAAGTCATGGTTTACCATGCCCATATTTTTTGGACTTGCCCTTCTATTCAGACTCTCTGGAAGGAAGTAGCAACAATCATTTCAAAAACTTCAGGTTTTAGTATTAGTGTAAGCTTCACATCTCTTTTCCTTGGACATATCCCTGATGGACTAAGTAAAGATGTCATCTACCTGCTGAAGATCCTGCTGGCAGCAACTAAAAAAGGCCATTACAAAACACTGGCTCCTACTACTTACCTCTTTATTAATATTGTTAAACACGGCGGCAGTAGCTCAGTCCATAGGGACTTGGGTTGGGAACCGGAGGGTCACCTGTTCGAACCCCCGTCCGGACCAAATTATGGAGCGTGGACTGGTGGCTGGAGAGGTGCCAGTTCACCTCCTGGGCACTGCCGAGTGCACTTGAGCAAGGCCCTGAACCCCCAACTGCTCGGGGTGCCTGACCAAGGCAGCCCCCTCACTCTGACATCTCTCTACTTTGTGCATGTATAGATCCTGTTTGTGACCTGTGTGTTAATGACAAAAAGAGTGAAAAAACTGAATTTCCCCTCAGGGGGATTAATAAAGTATATAAAAATGAAAAATTACACCTTCTGGAACAAATGTCACACTCTATATGACTTCAGAAAGAACTTGGTGGAGAAAACGGTGTACCTACTTAGCCAATAAGACAGATGCTACATAATTATTGTATGCGTCATGTATGAAACTCTATTTTAAATTAGCATAATCAGTCTTGTCTTTGTAAACATCCCATGACCTCATATCTGCTATTTTTTTCTGGACAGTTTTTCTTTTTTCCCGTTTGTTCCTAAACATAAAATGTTCATAAACAGAAAGTACAAAAAAAGAATGGAAAATGAAATTAGTTAAAATGTCCACTAGCAGGTTGTAAGAAAGCAATAACCAGGAAATGGTTGAGTGAAGAGTCTCCAACAGCCTCTGGATGGACCGAAATAATTAAGGAAATTTACATTATGGAACAAATTTTCCCAAGACATGCCACTAAAAATATGAACAATATTGGAAAAAAATGGAAATCTTGTTTGACTTTGAGGTGATCTTGTATTTGTGCATTTGTTTTGTTTGGTGAACTTTGTTTTGTCCCCTTTGGTGTTGGGACGTGCGGGATGGATAGTGGCTCATGGATGACTGGAAGATGGTGAGATGACTGGAGGGGAGAAGACGGAGATCATGGAGACCTTTGTGGTCTTGAGAGACGATTATGGACATGGAGGACCTGTTGTCAGTGACACTACAGTGGAGCCTTGCCGCCGCCTTCTTTTTATTGCTGCTCAGTGCTGGGCATTTCACTTTTGCCTATGATGTCTCTGCCCGTTGTTGGTTTTTGTCTGCTTTTTTCTTTTTGTAAAACTAATACAAATTAAATAATAAAAAAGAAATTAGTTTAAATGTCTGTTAAGACCTCACAAATTCAAATTTAAGGCTATTTTATGACTTTTAAGGCCTTATTGTGACATTGAATTTATGATGTGGCCCATGAACTAAACTGAGTTGGACCCCCCCGATTTAAACCTTCATGTAGCAGATCAAAATCTACAGCAGAATATTATATAAAATGGTTATAGTTGAACTAAAAAAGGCCAAAAAAAGAGATCAGTCACACTCATCTGACTACATATTGTTTTAAATCCTGGCTAGAGTCCTGACAATCATCATGGATAAACTTTGCAGCATGAATTAAACACTAGACCTCACTTCGACTGTAAAGATGTCTTTCAGTATAGTCAAGGTTTAATACAAAGGCAGCCCATGAATGACGATTTTTGTGATAGAAAATAACGCTTTACATAACTGCCAGCATCAGCATAACAGTCTTAAAGTCAAAGCATGAATCATCCCACATCCATTCACTGAAAACTACTTAAACATACAGTGTATATGAAACGTCCTTTATTAGACAATGAGAAAAAGACTTTACAATTTGGAGCTTTTCGCTCACCTTGCTGGCCTGCAGTCTGAAGCAAATAAAGACCCAGGCTGTATATTCAAAGCTCTCACAAGGCACTAAACCTTGAGGTGCTTCTTTTTCTTTCTTTTCAGGTTTTGAATTCAGTTTTAGAGTCACAATCACGACACAACTTTCCTTTTTACAATAGCACTC